CAAATACAAATTAATTAAGAATGTCTAAGGGGTAATATAATAATATAATATTATTTCTGTTCTTTCTTTTTGCGTAAATATGTTTTGTTTATCAACTTTTCAAATTTAAATTGATTATGAATGATTATTTTGTAATATATAAATGTTAAATTTTTTTCTGGGCAAACGGCCTTCGGTCAAGTGGCATTCGGGCATTTGTCGCATTCGGACAAGTGAACATTTAGGCATTCATTCGGGCAAGTGTACATTCGGGCATTTGTCCATTCGGGCAAGTGTCCATTCGGGCATTCATTCGGGCAAGTGTACATTCGGGCATTTGTCCCATTCGGGCAAGTGTCCATTCGGGAATTTGTCACATTCGGGCAAGTGTCCATTCGGGCATTTGTCGCATTCGGGAATTCGGCCTTCGGGCAAACGGCATTCGGGCAGAGTGTCTTTCGGGAATTTGTCGTAGACCCATTTTATCGTTCGGGAAAAGTTTTTTTTTCGATATAACTCAAATAAGCAGAATTTTACTATAGGTCTATTTTAGCCCTCGCCATGTGAGTAGAACAAAATAGGTAGTTTTTTCCAAATCGCCCATTTATTTACCTTGGTCTACGGAAAAAAATTGAGCCAGGTGTACAAAGTCAAAGTACCCTGAATTTTGTTTTAAAAATAGTCATCGTTTTCCACCAAATTACTAATGTTTATATAGTCTAGAAGAGGACGATACAATCGATATATATATATATATATATATATATATATATATATATATATATATATATATATATATATATATATTTCTACCTATTTACTTGTAATATTGAAGTGATTTCCTTCAACACAAGTATTAAGTGTTAACATGTTATTCGCCAAATGGCCAATTTTCTCCGTGCATATCCTGCTTTTTTTCGGTATTTGCTTCCGTAACTATTGTTTACGAGAAAAATAGCCCGTTGAGGAAGGATACCACGGGCGCTAGGTTGATAGTGCTGTCTCTTTTCTCTAAGCTAAAACCAAAACCAAAACCACCACCTTAATTCAATTTAACCGGTAACAAAAAATGACATTGAAAACGGATTTTTATCCAGAATCGGTACTTTAATAGGATTTAAGCTTAATCTCTACGTAATTCTGCACATTGATACAAAATATAGATGCAGCCATACTCCTAAACCTTGCAACCTATCTCAATCATGACAAAAGTCGAATTTAGAGTTTCTTTTAGGCGACTCTACTTGCCCCCCCCCCCCCACACACACACCTCAAAGCACATCTACCGTCCCATTCAACGACATAGAATTTAAATAGAAAATATACTTTAGCAGTGTACGCCCCCTGCCAGAAAATTTAGTCCACACGCACCCCCGAAAATTTCAAGTAACCCCTTCCCCCCTCAGTCGAGGAAAAAGTCTGAAAGCAACACTGATCTTATGTGTTGATCATACAGACTAAAGGTAGAGCCTACTTCTATAATTTAGACCTCGATAAACCTCATTCTCGCAGACATTTTTTTTAGATATTTTCTGGGGGAGGGGCACTTGAATTTTTGCAGAGGCGAATAAAATTACCCTGGGCGGGGGAGCCCGACACTGGTAAAAGTATAATATATTTCCTATATAAATTATATTTCGTTTATTAGGGGGAGGGATTAGACGTTCTACCGGGGGGGGGTGAGTTAAATGGGCTTCGCTTGAAAGAAACTCTGCAAGGAAACCACTTTTTAGATTATGCACATTAATTAGGAAGTAATTTTATTATAGAGTATCGATGACATTTCTTTTGAATTGGGGGGGGGGGGGCGGCTTAGACGTTCTTACGCGAGGGTGGGGTTCGCCACTACCCGAAGAATTCAAGCGTAAACTACAAGGCAAAAAGTATTTGATTTTGGAGTTGTTATATTTTTTCCTAGATGGTCTTTTTTTTCTCCTGTTACCGGGCCTGATCTGCTAGGGGATTCAAACTCGGAACTTTTTGGTTTTAGAAACCATGTGCTTTCCCACGCCACGCCACCGCCCCCCCCCCCCACCCCGTCCCCAGTTCCCCAACCTATATGAACAGTTTAAACAAAACGCTGCATTAAAAAGACTAAACATTGTGTTTCAAGATGTGTAACACATGCACATACAACTATTGTGAACTAAATAAATGCGCGTTCGTCCAATATACAAGTGCTAACATCCTTGTTTCATAATTGCCTCCACTTTTCGGCATTGCCTTATCATCAAGCACGTTCCCAAACTGGTAATAATAGCGCGCCACGTTGGTTCACGTTGCATCCGCAAACACTTAGTTTTCAGAAAACTCATACAATGGCAAACTAACTGACAACTTATAACAAATTTAGGTTATATTCGAATAAGGGTGTGGTGTTATTTCTAGTTCTAGTTCTAGTTCTAGTTCTAGTTCTAGTTCTAGTTCTAGTTCTAGTTCTAGTTCTAGTTCTAGTTCTAGTTCTAGTTCTAGTTCTAGTTCTAGTTCTAGTTCTAGTTCTAGTTCTAGTTCTAGTTCTAGTTCTAGTTCTAGTTCTAGTTCTAGTTCTAGTTCTAGTTCTAGTTCTAGTTCTAGTTCTAGTTCTAGTTCTAGTTCTAGTTCTAGTTCTAGTTCTAGTTCTAGTTCTAGTTCTAGTTCTAGTTCTAGTTCTAGTTCTAGTTCTAGTTCTAGTTCTAGTTCTAGTTCTAGTTCTAGTTCTAGTTCTAGTTCTAGTTCTAGTTCTAGTTCTAGTTCTAGTTCTAGTTCTAGTTCTAGTTCTAGTTCTAGTTCTAGTTCTAGTTCTAGTTCTAGTTCTAGTTCTAGTTCTAGTTCTAGTTCTAGTTCTAGTTCTAGTTCTAGTTCTAGTTCTAGTTCTAGTTCTAGTTCTAGTTCTAGTTCTAGTTCTAGTTCTAGTTCTAGTTCTAGTTCTAGTTCTAGTTCTGGTTCTTTTTCTGGTTCTGGTTCTGGTAGAAGTAATCTTTATTTAAAAATCGGACATTGTGTAAAGCAACACTTCCTTTTAAGGAAATCAATGATAAAGTTTTTTTTTATCTATGTTTAAAATGTGTCCTCTTTACTAAAACTATACTAAAGATATTGGTATTTAAAACCAGTAAAAATGTACCACTTCTATTTATAGAAGATTACTCAAAAATTGAAGTAACAAAAAAATAAGATACTATACTTATTTCTGAAATTTCATAAAACACTATCTAAAATATAGTCTTCACGCAGAAATAGTGTAAATTACCACTTCCGGTTATCGGAAATCGTATACAAGTTGAAACAGAGCTACATACCTTATACAATAACAATACATGACATTTAATCAATACTATCTGAAGCGGCTGTCAAGTTATCGTGTTCATAGACACACAGACAGAAACGCAAACATACAGACACAATTGCAAATTTCCCGGATCGGGGATATGTAAAAAGTCGAGATTTTTAAAAAATCTCTATTTTTTGCACGATTACAATACTGCCTCTCTAGTTCCTAAACGGGAAAGTAAAAAGTGAAGAAGAGCACTTGAGGTATCTGGAAAACGACTGGTTGTGTCAAGTTGCAAAGCACGTGATCACAGCATGACTGCTCCCTTTTTCCTTATTAGGTGTTGTTAAGTTTTACAGCCGGTTTTTAAATTGTTCAGCTGTTAACCCCTTAATGCCTGAATTATGTTCCAAGCGTTTAAAAAATTATTTGTGCTGATTTTCTCTTAATATACTGTCCCCGGTTACGTCATTTTCATGAACTCTTATTAAAAGTCGTCTAATAAAGACGCATATTTCTCATTTGACCTATTTTTGCTATACACACAAAGCACGTGAATAAATACTGTCCTAAATGACAGTGTTCAGCCGTTGTATATCCTTCCATGCTCAATGCTGCTGCCTTGGGTACTCAGTGCCACTGGTGTGGGTACTCACTGTTATTGTTATACTCAGTGTTACTGCAGTTGGTTCTTGGTGTCACTGCTGTGAGTACTCAGCGCTGAAGCTGTTGGAAATCGATAACGTGCTATGGTTACTCAGCCTTAGCAGTGGGTACTCAGTATCACTGCTATGAGTGCTGAGTGCTCAAACTGTGGTTGCTCAGTGTCACTGATGTTGGTACTTAGTGCTGAAGATGTGGGTACTCAGTATCATTGCTGTCGGTACTAAATACCAGTATAATGCCACTAATAAGGGTATTCAATAGCACTGCAAAGGGTATTTTTGTCAGTATTCAACCTTACTGTATTTATTACGAGATGTAGGTCTATGATCAGTGTTATTATTGTCAAGGTCACTGTGAGGACCTTTCTTTGATAGTATCCAGGATAGTGGTGCACCACCTCAGTTCCTGTTGTCTATTTTTTTTATGTTCTCCTAATATTTTACAATGCTATTTCAAAGTTAAATTTGTTATATTGTATCCAGCAGCATTTTCCAGCATCGCTCTCTCTCTCCATATGCCAATGTCACTGTAACAGATGAACTCTACTTCACCTACTACATGGACCTTAACGTTCTAAAGTGCAGTTTTATATACAAGCGAAGACTATATTGTAAATCCTTTACTTATTTATAATCATACTTGAATAAATGACAACATAGCGATGCATCGTCTTTTGTTATACCTGCTTGGCACCCAAGTTCAATTTTATGTCTTATTGCCGGATGTCACGAAAACGAGACAGCAGATAACTTCCAAAATTATTCTCATATGTGATTTGTACTGTTTATATACATAAAAGAGTGAATAATAAAGATATTAGTATTTTTTTGTAGCAAAAACGGATCACCTATTTAGTAATAATAATCAATGTAAGTAGGCCGAATTCACGAAGTCACAAAAATTACGATGCGCGTGAGTCAAGAGAGTGTGACGTCATAAATTTCGACTTGACAACGTGACCGTTGGTACCGATACAACTGCCTGGATGTACCCAATACACAACGACCGGCAGCAGTAGGATAAATGTACCTATGCGCATATGCTAAATCAGTATGTCGCGAAAACGCGACAGTCTGAGTTAAAGGGTTAAGTTCCGTTTAGTTTAGCGAGACAGTGTAGCGCTGAGACGTCACGAGTAAGTGAACTGAAGTGACCGAAAGAGCAAAGCATTAACAGTGAGAAAGATAACGAAGTGTAGCCCATCCGCTTATCTCCTCCATCCTGCACCTACACCAGCATCATCCGTCAGCTAAAGTCGTCAAATTTTCAAGGTAAATACATTTTTGTAATACATGTGGCATTATTATTTATTATACTAGATAATTTGCCCGTTGATAATGTTTTCTTTTCCTCTAAGTTGAAACCGAAAAAAAATATCTAATTTAACTTCTACATAGTTCTAGTTCTAGTTGTAGTTCTAGTTCTAGTTCTAGTTCTAGTTCTAGTTCTAGTTCTAGTTCTAGTTCTAGTTCTAGTTCTAGTTCTAGTTCTAGTTCTAGTTCTAGTTCTAGTTCTAGTTCTAGTTCTAGTTCTAGTTCTAGTTCTAGTTCTAGTTCTAGTTCTAGTTCTAGTTCTAGTTCTAGTTCTAGTTCTAGTTCTAGTCCTAGTCCTTGTTCTAGTTCTAGTACTAGTTCTAGTTCTAGTACTAGTACTAGTTCTACTTCTACTTCTACTTCTACTTCTACTTCTACTTCTACTTCTACTTCTACATCTACTTTCACATCTACTTCTACATCGACTTCTACTTCTACATCGACTTCTACTTCTACTTCTAGATCTACTTCTAGATCTACTTCTAGATCTACTTCTAGATCTACTTCTAGATCTACATCTAGTTGTAGTTGTAGTTGTAGTTGTAGTTGTAGTTGTAGTTGTAGTTGTAGTTGTAGTTGTAGTTGTAGTTGTAGTTGTAGTTGTAGTTGTAGTTGTAGCTCTAGTTCTGGTTCTGGTTCTGGTTCTAGTTCTAGTTCTGGTTCTAGTTCTAGTTCGAATTATAATTCTAGCTCTAATTATAATTCTAATTCTAATTCTAATTCGAATTCTAGTTCTTGTTCTAGTTCTAGTTGAAACTTTTTAAAAAAATTTTTATTCATTTTTTATAAGATACATTTAATAACACCACAAGGCAGGTGCTGTGGTGCAAGTAAGAAACATTGCGGTATGACAAAGTTATGTAGATAGTCGTTCGAAAAACAAATATCTTGAAGGCTGAATCTTTAGAACTGGAGCATTTGAAAGACAAAACGTAATTTGATGAAGAATTGCCTGGGACGTAGCAATCTATTTCGGCGCCCGTTCCGAACTATCAATAACTAAATTATTAGTTATTCGCGTTGGTAAAAAAGCGCACCCCCCCCTCCATCCGCTCATTTGAAAGGTCGGGGCACTTTATAGCAATCACTGCATTTTTATATTGGTAGCACACAAACAATTAAATAAGTTCGTAATGCCAAGAAGCAGTCTGATTTCTTCTAGAACTAGATCTAGATCTGGAACTAGAACTGGAACTGGAACTGGAACTGGAACTAGAACTAGAACTAGAACTAGAACTAGAACTAGAACTAGAACTAGAACTAGAACTAGAACTAGAACTAGAACTGGAACTGAATATTTATTTGTTAAGTAATATTTTATTTTAAGAATTTCGTTTTGTTAAACGTTTGCAAATTATCAACAAATGTATTACTATTGTTTTACACTGATTTACTTCAACTATTCCTAAAAAAAATTGTTGAACTAAAATACTTTGCAAAAATAAATTATAAGCAGCATTGTAGGCCCTTTCCATAATTAATGACATACACGAAAAACAATTACATTTGTTTATATTTTAGTTTTAATTTTCTTCTATTTATTATAAAGTATAGATGTTTGTGATGAGGTGGGCTTGTTTTACGTTTTGTGTTAGCAGTAAGGGAAAAAAGTAATCAATAGATTTGTATTAGAAGTAGCAGAATGAAAAATACATCCGAGTTGACTAAGAAAAATTAAGCGTTGCATTCATAGAAGCAGGAGCTATTTCTGTATTTAAATTATTTCTGAACAATAGTTCACATTGTTATATAGATTACTATTGTTTGTCGAAAGAAATACACATCACAATGGCTTTATCCGATCGTATGATCAACTTAATGTGCAAAATATTATATTTTCAATTAAATCAATATTAATGTTTTTAAGCCCTTAAAATGGAAGCAAGCACTTGTAGTTTTAATCGTCAATCAAGTGACGTCATTGAAAAACTCTTCAAGGCCGCACAAACAGGATCAAAAATAAATGACAAGGAAATCAATGCCAAAAACAGGGAAGGCTACACAGCGTTAATGCTGGCAGTAGAACGTGAGAACCTCCAAGTTCTGAGAGCTCTACTTGAAGCTGGCGCTGATGTGAATGTCAGCAGATCTTCTGATGGCAGCTACACAGCTTTGTCTCTTGCTGTTGACAAGGGGCACACAACTGCTGTACGAGAACTGCTTCAACATGGCGCTTTCCTTTCTTGTGAGAAGGGCATTGAGGCTTTAGATATGGCCAGAGAAAATGGCTTTTTCCGTGCTGTTGTCAATGGAGAGGAATATCTAATTCGACAAAACAAAGAGCAAACTTTAAATGAGAATACTGGCGTCTTTCAGTCATTTAAAAATAATCGGCTTGATTTAGTTAAAGATCTGATTACTGCAGGAAGTTACATAGATAAAACAGCCTTAACATTAGCAATATCCAAGAACAGTCCACCATGTGTAGATATTTTAATTGAATCAAAAATCGATGTAAATTTTATAAACAAAAACAAATGGACGCCATTGCATATGGCTGCCAGTAAAAACGAACAAATTGTAGGATTATTGATAAAGGGTAAAGCTGACGTCAACGCTAAGACATGTGAAGGTGAAACATCTCTACATTTGGCAGCTAGCACAGGTGATATTAAAACAATTCAACGTCTTAAGGAAGCTGGTGGATTAGTCGACAGCCAAGATAAAAATGGAGATTCTGTCTAATGTAAAAGAAATATGTGAATACCTTTTGGAATCAAAGGCTAATGTAAATTTACCAAACAAGTTTGGCGTACAGCCGATTGTAAATATTGTGGACTTCGACAGCCTTGAATTAATGCAGTTGTTTATAAAACATGGAGCAAACGTAAATGCGTGTGATTCAATGGAACGTTCTATTTTGTCTCTAGCCATATGGAGAAAAAAAAGAGAAATAGCCAATCTACTTTTACATAAGGGCGCTGATGTTAATTTTATGTTTAATCAGAAAGTCCCACTGCTTGTTATGGCCGTAAAGTTAGGAGATGTTGAAGTTGTAAAAACGCTGCTGGAAAAAAAAGCTGATGTAACTAAAGCTGATAGTAATGGGAATACACCACTACATGTTGCTGTTGATGAATTAAAGTTTCGTCAATCGTAGAAGTTTTGTTTGGAAAACAGAGACCAATTTATATGTGTTTGTAAGCTACACTTAACACCGCGCAATATAAATTCAAATCCAATAATTCCACAAGAATGCCCTAGTTTTGGTATGGAGAAATGTTGTGCGCTCGTAAAGATTCTAATCGAAGCTGGCGCAGATGTTAAAATATCAAGTGAATCTAGAATCCAACCACCAATTGTGAACATTTTAGACTTTGACAGCCCAGAATTAGTAGAATTTTTTTTTAAAACACGGAGCAGATGTAAATAGTTGTGATTCTAAGGGCCGTTCTATTTTGTCTCTCGCTGTATGGAACCGAAAAAAAGAAATCGCTAATCTACTTGTGTTAAAAGGAGCTGATGTTAATTGTATGTTTGATAAAGAGACAACTGTATTAGCTATGGCAGTACGGTTAGGTTACGTTGAACTTGTCTAAAAAATGCTAGAAATGGGAGCTGATGTAACAAAAACTGACAACAACGGGAACACGCCACTTCATTATACTGTCAGGGATATTGTATCTAATCAAACTCTAAAACCGTTTCCAATACACAATGATATCAGTCACTCTACGTGTCGTAAAACGTATGATTATATAGCAATAAAACGGCACGTTTATTTACAATCCCTTGAGAATACCATACAAGAAGACAATGTAAATATTGCTGCACGTTTAGAGATAGTAAATGTTCTTATCCGAGCAGGCTCTAATATAAACCAAGTAAATAATAAACTAGAGAGCCCATTGCATATAGCAATAGCGCAAAACATTTTTGTTAAAGACAAACATATTAAAGATATAAAAAATAAAAGTAACCCGACTCAATTACCTTCAGCTGGAACTGACAAGGAAGACATTTTAAATCAGCAGTTATTAGAATGTGCAGAACACTTTATAGACAATGTTTTTGCGTATAACCCAAGTGCTAAATGTTTTACTGCAACAATTGAAAGACACGCATGTTTACAATCACTTGAGTACTACACATACAAAGAGGCTATTAATATTGAAACGCGTCTTAACATTTTTAAGATTCTTCTTAAAACAGGTTTCAATGTGAACCAAGTAAACAATGACCTAGAGAGTCCATTGTGCTTGGCCATACGACACAAAAAGCTAATAGAATTGCTTATTAAATCTAAAGCAGATGTCAATTTGACAGGACGAAATAAACAGACAGCATTACATTTGGCAGCCAGTGGACCGGAGGAAATTGTCAAAATGTTGATAGATGCTGGGGCTGATGTTAATGCTGAAATACAGGAAACTGATTCAACTATTGAATCTGATACTGACATTGAAGCTACAGGAAGAGAAAGCCAAGGATTTTTTAGCCATAAATATAGTTTATTTAATAGCTATTTGTGTAATAGGGATATTGGCACCGAAGATTACTCACTTTCAGATTTCCAATTTCAACAAAAGAGTTTTTACAATGAACATCTAATCAAAGATAGTGGTCCATATATTAATACCTCATTCGAGTATGCTGAGACTCCTCTGCATATTGCAGCGAGAAGTGGTGAAATCGATTCTTTAAAACATTTAGTTACAGCGGGTGCGTCAGTCAATTCTCTAGATAAACAAGGAAACTCTGCGCTGTCAAAAGCAATAGAAAGCAAAAGTATTGAAAAGATCAAATATCTGGTAGAAGTCGGTGCTAACGTTAATGTACCAAATAAAGATGGTGTCTTACCAATTGGTGACTTATTGCAATTTGACAGCATTGAACTAGTTGAACATTTTGTAAATCATGGAGCCGATCTAACCGCTTGTGATGGAAAGAAAAGTTCTGTGTTAACGATTGCCTTAAATAGAAAATGTAATGAAATAGCAATGTTTCTAGTAGAGAGCGGCGCTGATGTTAACGCTTTGTTTGAAAGACATTTTCCTGCTTTATCTAAGGCTGTAGCGTTATATGATGTGGAACTTGTAAGAAATATGATAAAACGTGGGGCAGATGTTACACAAAAAGACAAAGATGGAAACACAGCATTACATGTTGTTCTCAGATCATACAAGGAGAGAGGCGGATATTCCTATGACGAAAATGATGAATATTTTTTCAATAAACATTTTTACGATTTAGATGCTGTAAGTAAATACAAGCCATTGCCATTCGACAAAGAGGAGATGTTCAAAAGCACTAATGTTGTCAAAAACCAGTCTGAAATTGTTGATATGTTGATTAAAGCAGGTGTATCTGTTAACCAATTAAATAATCAACTTGAGGGTCCTCTGTGTTTGGCAATACGACACAAAAAGCTAATAGAATTGCTTATTAAATCTAAAGCAGATGTCAATTTGACAGGACGAAATAAACAGACAGCATTACATTTGGCAGCCAGTGGACCGGCGGAAATTGTCCAAATGTTGATAAATGCTGGGGCTGATGTTAATGCTGAAATACAAGAAACAGACTCAACAGATGAATCCGATACTGACATTAAAGTAATTGGAAGAGAAAACCTTGATTATTTGAGTCATAGTGGTAGTTTATTTGACAGCTATTTTGTTGATAGGGATAGTGACGACACTGTCGATGAATCCCTTTCAGATTCCCGAGTCCGACGCTATCGATATTCTAAGAAACAACTTTTCAAAGACACTGGTCCTAAAAATACTACCTCATTCGAGTATGGCGAGACTCCTCTTCATATTGCAGCAAGAAGTGGCGAAATCGATTCTTTAAAACATTTAGTTACTGCGGGTGCATCAGTCAATGCTTTGGATAAAAACGGAAACTCTGCGCTGTTGAAAGCAATCGAATGCAATATTAATGAAAAGATAAAATATTTTGTACAATTTGATGGAGCAGCCTTAACCGCTTGTGAGGGTAGGACAAATTCTGTGTTAACGATTGCCTTATACAGAAAATATAAGGAGATTGCAATGTGTTTAGTTGAGAGCGGTGCTGATGTTAACGTGTTGTTTGATGGACATCCAGTGTTTCTTCCAGACTATTTTCTCCGGGGGGGGGGGGGGGCACTTGAAATCTTCGGGGGGGGGCGGTAAACTTTCTTCGGGGGGGCGGACACTGTTAAAAGTATATATTTTCTATATAAATCATATAAATTTCATTTCGTTCGGGGGGGAGGGGCGGTAAAAAATTTTCGGGGGGGGGGGGGGGGGGAGGCTTAGCCCCCCCGAAGAGATGCCTGGAAGAAACTCTGTGGACATCTTCCTGCTTTAGCAATGGCTGTTATGTCAGATGATGTGGAGCTTGTCAAAAAGATGATTACACATGGAGCTGATGTAAATAAAACTGATAGAGATGGGAATACATCATTACAGCTCGCTCTTACTTTTGGGTATGATGAAGTGATTTCTATTAAATATATTTTAAAGGAATCTTATGATTACACAGACGCTACAATAATTATGAGAAACCGTTGTGAATTTGTTGAGATTCTGATTGAAGCTGGGGCTAATATAAACCAAACAAATAATGCTTTAGAGAGTCCGTTACACATAGCTGTTAAGGTTTATAGTCTTCGAGGAAAGTACTGCAAATATGACACTGATGATCTTAGCAAATATGATGCAATTCTGACAACGTTAATAAATCATGGTGCTAAAGTGAGAAGTTCAATTCTTTATTATTGTTTATCAAATGAACAGTTTGAACAAGCTGGACGTTTATTAAAAAACAGTACGTGTCATATATTAGACGAAAAATTTAGAAATCAGATGTCTAATATTCAGTTATCACAAGTTGGGAGCATTTTCAAAAAAAGCCATTTTGAAATTTTACAAATGCTTGTGTACAATGGAATAGTGTTAAGAAGTAAAACACATGTAAGTGTTTCAGGGAAAACAATCTCATTAACCAGCCTAATGCTAGCGATAATATATAGCCACGTTGATTTAGCAAAATATCTTCTAGCAACTGGTTATATGACTGTAGCGGATCTGAGGCAACTTCGACAGTTTGATAAATATCCTGAAGAATTACATAACATACTTTGTGAAATAGACAAACAACCTACTGTTTCAACCTGTGAGCTTCAAAGCCTAATACATAAAGTGGTAACTCAACCCTGGCCACTGGCCAGACTCGCTTTCATCACGGTGTCAACAATGTTGGGTGAAGGTCCAGAGCGAGAAAAAAGACTCTCTGGAAATAATATCTCACCAAAACTAAAACAACATTTGAAATTCCAATCTCCAGTTGCATATCTTCCAGTTTGTGAGTGGTCCAAATTTACATTGTTCTTTGATCCTGTTGTTGACGAAGTAGGACATGAATATTCGTTAAAAAGCTGGCCTCTGTGTAAATAATAAATAATATGTTTAGTTTATATCAATCTGTATTTTTTTTATATAAAACATCATATCCAGAATAAAAATATTTGCAAATGTAAAATAAAATAATTGCACATTATATAGTATAGACGGATAAATATTAGCGAAACAAATCCTATTCAACCCGTAGGAAAGTCTAAGCCTTTTATCTACCGGTAATCAAGTAAAGTAAAACATATCTAGTAACTATCTACTTCCAAGTAAAACTAAATCACGGACAGGAATAGATTCACAAGTAAAGTAGAATTTCAGTAGGTAGTAACAGCAAACAGTAAACATAGCTAGTTTATAGACCTCTTGTCTTTGCAAGGGTTTACAGCCGGCAAGTAAACTACGGAACAATTCAAAGTCCGCAGCTTACCTTTCTAGCAATACACAAATATAGTAAATTTAGAAAAGTACAGTGAAGATGTTACACTCGGCTTCTTATGTAAATTTAAAGTCATTGAGAAAGATCAAATAATTTCTGTCTTATAGTGTTTATGATATGTCCATATCTTTTAGTTCTATGAGAGAGAAGAAATATAATGAATCTGAAATGTTTAACTGCAAGATCTGTCTAAATTTAAAGGATGTTTTGTGCGCTGAAATTACTGAAATAAAAAAGAGTAATTGATTACAAACAAACTTTGGTTGCATTTTTACTTTCTCTCTTTAAGATCGTATCAACGCTCTCATTTGGGCAAGTGCCTTTCGGGAAAACGCTCGGCTCACAACTTAACCATGTATAAAAGTTCAAACAAAAAATATTTTTATTAATGATATGCAACAGAAACATATAAAGCTTTTAAATGATTTTTAAAATCCATTTACTCACCTCAAGATTTTTTTTTGATAATACATTTCTTTACACAACTATATGAAATAAAAAAAATTATATGCCCATAATAACTCAAATCTGAATATAAAAGCTCGATTGTTTCATCTTAATTAGAATATTTCAATGTTTTGAACACCGTAAAAGTTGTATATAAATCATTAATTTATTAAAAAAACATATTTTTGAAAAAATAACAACAAAAACAAATGCATTGTAGTCAACCGGAGCACCAGTTATGTACAACTGAAACACCTTACTAAAATCAAATAAAAAAACAACAAGACACACACGGCTATATTAGTTGCACCATGATACAAAAACACTTTATGCTAAAGGAGTAGCACGTACTGAAGCACAACTACTCAATCGACCAACATAACACCTGAACACATTTAGCCCGAAATTTGTGCGGAACATATTTTATATGGGTCTTTTGAAGGCTAGGTTAGAATAGAATAAAACAGAAATAGAACTGATTAAATCGTTTTTTTTTTTTTTGTGTGAGTTGATTTTAACTCCGTGTATTTATGTATTTTTAATCCACAGTTATAGCTTGTAGTAAATTGTAGGGGAACGTGTATAGTGTGGAAAATAAAAATGGACTAAACAGTACTTATTACCATTTTTTTAGCTGAATAAAACGGAACATTTAAAAAAAATTAATTATATACAACATTCTAAAGACTTTCAGATTATCTGATCGATATTGGAATATCTAATGTTAAGTTTATAAGAGAGCAGCTTGGAGTTACATTTTATTTTATTCATAAAATACCTATAAAAATCAATGCATGAATTCACGCATAAAGTATTTTGCAGCTTTTGAAATTAAATGACGCAAATATAGAGAGGCTTTGGATTGATTTTTGTAACATCTGGTCCTTTTTCATATTTAAAACTAATATTTAGCTGCATAATGTAATTGACAAAGTTAAAACTGCTTAAGAAAAGATTTTGCGTACTTAACAGTTCATTGCATTAATTAATTTTGTGAAAGCATTTTGAGAAATCTTACAGTGTAGGGTGTTGTGTGTAGAGAGTATAAATATTGAGGAAATTGAATTGTTTTATCAACTAATGTTTATTTTGCAAAATAACAGTATGTAGCAATTGCGCTACATTATGCAACGGTTAGTAAAAATATGTAACGATAGAAAAATAAATTGATCAATCATTTATCATTTGAAATATATCGCGTAATTATTGATTTTAGTTAAACACCTATTTATCATACACCCGAAGGCTTAAAAATTTATTTATAAGTCTTGTCATAACCTAAATATTTTTGCTATTCTTAAAATTCTGTATTTCAAACAAAATTACCTTATTTTTTATATTCCTGATTCAGGGATGTGGCTGTTAAAATTAATTGTTTACTAGATATAAATATAAGCAAAACTATAATTTGTTAACTATTTGAAGGTGACACATTTTTTTATGGTGCAATTAAGTAATAATCTTCGTTTTTTAATTTTATATATATATATATATATATATATATATATATATATATATATATATATATATATATATATACATATATACATACATATATATATATATATATATATATATATATATATATATATATATATATATATATATATATATATATGTGTGTGTGTGTAACACATATGATTACCAGCCAAGGGGGGATAAGAATAAAGTTTTAATTCATTGAGTTGCGGCCCCTATGGGACCGTAGCCCTGTTGATGTAGTTGTTTTGCATGCTCTTCTGTGAGAGATTTTACCTGTGTCCCATGTCATGTGACATGGGACTATGGTTAGTTCTTGCATAGCCGTGTCGGTCACACTCACGGCTGTTGTCTGTGGACACGGAGGGTGACGGTACCTAGAGGTAGACATACCAATGTAGATCTAATGAAGGTAATGTGGTTATATAAATTATGTTTATTGTTAGAATACTTATTTGTGTATTCCTGCTAGTGCTGCAAATTGCACACTAGTTAGGTTGAGTATTTATTTAAGTATTTATTATTGTACTACTTATTGGTACTTTTTGGCAGTACTGTGTACTGGCCGCGTGGTATTAGCATTGAAGTAACATCGCAGTTGTTGCGTCAAACTAGACGCCTAAAGGAAAAAGAAAACACGAAGACCAAGTGAGACCTAAAAGCGCATATCGGGGAAGCAGCTGACAGAGGCAGGATTGTCATGGGGGACGGCCAGGAAAATTGCTGGTGACGACAAGAGTGGAGGGAGCCTACCGTATTGACCCAATGTGTCTTGAGCACAAAAAGGAAAATATGATAGTCGACTGCTAACCTAAATAACTTGAGTTTAAATCCCGAGTTTGTGTCAATAAAATTTTCCTGAGTCCACCCAGCTCACATTAGGGAAAATAAAGGCGGCTGGGTATAGTGCTGACCACACTATCCCTTCATACTACGAGGTCACTGAAACCGGTAAACTTTACCTCATGGGCCCCGTCGTCAGTTATATTTTCTATATCAAACATTAACACCGTATCGCCTATAACATTCTTTCCCATATGCTTAAGATGACGATTTCAAAAGTTATTGTTAATTATTCCAAAGTTCTTATCTTTAAACGCTTCAAATTATTTCCTTCAATTACATTTAGTACAATCTTCATAATTAAAACAATGCGTCTTGTATCATTGCTGCAGTGCTTCACAAGCGCAATGTAAAGCTGTTTGTCCATTTATATTCCGTTTTTTAGCTTTGACGCCTTCATCAACTAAACGCTGACTTATATCCACTTGCCACAACTGTGTGCAGTGAAGAGCAGTGTTACCGTTCTTATGAAATAAGAAATAGTAACACGTGTTTTTATTTTTATTTTCAAGACAATACTATAATCTGAATCACAACCTAAAATGTGTATTTTAATGAATGTATATTTATAAGCGTGCAGCTGCTATCAATTGAGTATCATGATGAGATTCAAGTGCATTAACATCTGCTGAAGCGTCCTTCAACAATTCTTCATTCTTTACACAGACATGTAGAGCTGTGTTACTTGTTTGTAAGTAATATTAACATTTGCCCCATCGACATGGGTGAAAAATAATTATGATACCATAATAACTAGAAACAAGCAGTAAAATTTCTAATTTAAACCTGTAGGAGGGTTTGTGCCACTTCTCTACCGGGAATATTGTACAGTATAACTAGACGTACTATCATTAAGGTCTAAAGGCTAAGTGTCAATTCAATGCACAAAGTTTAGAGCCTTATTAAAATGATAATGATTTTTTACCAGGTCCGAAGATCACTTGACTCTAGCAAGGGTAAATAAAAAATAATTATTAAATTATTATATAAAATTATGCAGCATATGATAATATTGTATCTACTGCTCCGTGGCTGATGCACATGCAAGATGAATGTAATGTAGTAGGTAACTGAAATGTACACTCATCTGCCACGTGGACGTGATGTAGAATTACGTCACAGAGAGGAATAGTTGAAATCAAATAAGAATTCAATTACCCCATGTGCGATGACACTGGCAGTGTAATGACACGGGCAGTGTAAAGTTTAGTTAGTTAAGTAAATCAGGTAAAATTATCGACTGTCACGAACAGGGCAACAGTTTAAGGGGGCAGGTACACCCAGAATAATTGAAAAATCGTTTTTTTTCGAATATTGTTGTATGGTGAATGTTATTTTATTCAGAATCCATTTCTCTATCCGTCTGTATGCATTAATTTGACCTGAGTGAAGTAGTTTTTTAGTTATATAAGTAATAATGCGTAACAGCAAGATAATACATATGGGATTTACTGAAATTACTTGATACAATGACAATAAAATTTCATAAATATCAAAACTGGTATAGTAACAATAAGAAAAAACTAAGTAAAACCAAACACAGCGCGTGGGGGTCGGGACGACGGCTTCAACTCCATTTGCGACAAACCTTGTGAACTCAGAGCTGGAAGAGACAGTTTTCTGAGTTACATTCCATTTTTATCCCATAAGCCTTTTAGACACAGGAATTTCACAATCGCAGCTTCACCCCGTCGCTGATTGTGCCCTGGTATATAGGTGAACAGGGCTAAGGGGAGTATTGTCGCAGGTAGAGGGTGGTGGATGAGCAAAATCCATCCATCCATTCAACATA